TTTACTTGTTGGTACCAATACAGAGAAAAGACTTGATTTCGAAAAGGAGAAACGAAAAGACGGTAAGAAAAGTATACACGATTACCCAATTTCTACAGAAGATGGTATCCAATTTGCCAAGGAAATCAAGGCGATAAAATATTTGGAATGCTCGCACTTGGATTTGAACAGCATTGAAAGGGTTTTTGATTGTATTTATGAATGGGGATACAACAAGTACATAAAAAATAAGAAATAACACATCTTAATTTTGTCAATTATCATTTTTATGATTGTTTGTAAACTGTTTATTAAAAATATGTACTGGGTGTCCCGAGTTTTTACATTTATTTTGTTTATTAATTTTGCAAATCGTTTTTTTGTAATAAATATCGATTATTATTATTCAAAAATGCAATTTCTACAATTTTTTAATTGAAAGTTTTTTAATCTAAATTTATCAAAAAAGACCAACTTTTTGTTTAAAATGTGTTCTCCATAAATATTTTCAATTTTTAGTGAGGTCAAATTGGTGGAACAATCACACAAAGTCTGTAAATTGCGTCTTGGAATGTATTCATTGTTTTTTTTACGAACAATAAGTAACTTCTGAAAACTTTTTTATATTTAACGTTTGTGGTACAAGTACTGGGGTTTGAGAGACTTTAAAAGGATGAGAAGCCTCAGTTGTATTTTTGTGAAGTTTAACATTTCTATTTGCTCTGAAATCTTTTTGAATTATTCGATGTTTTTATTAACTTCGATAATTTGATCTTCAGATTCACTTTCTTCGTCTCCATTGTCACTCTCTGAATTAACAAAGAATTAAAATCAGTGACAACGTCCAAAAATGTCAACTCGAAATTTTGTTGCAATGAATAATGTTGTCTTTGAAGTGAAGGCAACACACACCTTGGTGGCAAAGACTTTGATAACTTAATGGTCAACCACTTCATTATCAAATTCAAAAGAAATAACAAAAAGACATTCCAGGCAATGCACGAGCAGTCAGAAGACTCAGAACATCGTGTGAAAAGGCAAAACGAACACTATCATCGGCAGCAACAGCAAACATTGAAGTCGACCAGTTGTATGAAGGTATCAACTTTTACACATCAATCACAAGAGCGCGTTTTGAAGAACTCAACATCGACTTCTTCAAGTCAACAATCGCACCAGTCGAGAAGGTGCTTGAAAACGCCAAACTGTACAAAGGAATTATTGATGATGTTGTGCTGATTGATGGATCAACTCATATTTAAAAGGTAGTCTTGTTGTTACAAAACTACATTTTAATCGGAAGAATATCAATAAGAGCATCAACCCAGATGAGGCAGTTGCATATGGTACTGCTGTACAGGCTGTCATTTTGACTGGAAACAGCGGAAATACAACAGAAAAAGTGTTGCTTGATGTTGCCCCATTGACACTTGGGATTAAGACGTCTGGATTTATGATGACAGAATTGATACAACGAAACTCGACAATATTTGCAAAGAATAGTCGCAGATTTTTTTAGACAACCAGCCAGGCATTTTTATTTGAGTCTTCGAGGATGAGGCATCTACAACATCACACTGCAACATGCATAACAAGTTTGAGTTGTTTGTAATTACATCCGCACCACAAGTTATGGTCACATTTCATTACACCATGGAGTCTCACAAGTTGAAGTCGCATTCAACTTTGATGCAAATTGGATATTGAATGTCTCAGCTCAAGACAAGACTCTCAAAGTAGAATATCGACAAGATGGTTGCAGACAGATGAGTTCAAGGCGGAGGACGACAAGATGAAGGAACTTGTCGAAGCAAAGAATGGACTTGAGAACTTCTGCTACTCGATGAAAAACACACTCAACAAACAAATTACAGCAAAACTTTCACCAGACAACAAGGTGGCAATTGAAGCAATAATCAAGGAGACACTCTACTGGCTTGACAATAAATGAACAACCAATCGGTATCAAAAAATGAATACACACAGAAATAGAAGGAAACAGAGGCTAAGATCCAGCCCATCTTCACTAAATAAACCAACGGGATGCAGTAGCCTATAACATGCCAAGCGGTATGCCCGGTGCACAACAGCAACGGGTGCAAAGAAGGACGACACAAAGGGGCTGAAGATCGAGAAGGTCGACTGGTGTAATTGATTTGATTGTATGAGTCCATTTTACTGTATTATTTGATATACCATTTTTACTTATTAACTTTATTAATAATGTTAATTTAGTTGATATATAATGTTTTTGTTGAATAAAAAGTGTATATATAAAATAATGTTTCATCAATCTTTTATTTAGAAATGTTACATAATAGCTGTAATACTATTTATTTTGAATTAAAAATGAGTTTAGAAATTAAATTATAAATATTAATTTATTGAAAAACATTATATATATAATATTATAATTGTCATTCTTTAATAAAAATTGTTTTT